GTCACACTGACTAAGTAAAGGTCACATGGTGACTTTCCAGCTTTACTGGTGGAGGAAGACCTCTGGTGCCCTTCCCATTGAAAACCACTTTCTATCAAACATACACACAATTTTCTGAGGCTGAAACTGTAGGATTAACCATTAAATATCAACATAATCAGAAATATACAGTTTCATTTCCTTGATGACTACTTGTTTACAAGTAACTCTGAATCCTGAATGAATCTTACACATACACTCATACAGATTAACCTTGCTGGTATAAACAAGTAAATATTATTGAACTTCGACTAACTAATAACTGTTTTTGTTATTCCACATGTATGTTAATTATTTCAGTTTTCCTTACTTCATTCATTTTCCTTCCTTCCTTTCTTCCCTCGTTCCTTCCTTCCTTCCTTCCTTCCTTCCTTCCTTCATTCATTCATTCATTCATTCATTCATTCATTCATTCATTCATTCATTCATTCATTCATTCATTCATTCAATGACCTTCCATCATTTCCTTTATTCATTCATTTGTTTGTTGTTCATTAATTTTCTGTTGACTGACTGACTGACTGATTGATATTTATTCACCTAAATATCTATAGATACATATTGTTATTTCATTTCAATTTTCTTCTATTTTTCAGTTATTAAATTAAGCTAATTACTGATGGTTCAAAACCTAATGGCTAATGTACCCCTACTTACATTATTTAGGGGACCAGAGTAGATTCATCAACTATCAATTACAAAAGCAAGCTTGAAAAATTCATCACATGACCCTAGATAGGTGGTGGTGGTAGTTTTTCACTCAGGATCACAGCAATAAATCACATTGTAATTATCAGAGCACAGTTCAGCCACCGCAACATTCCTGGGCAGGCTGTCAAGCAGTTTACCAGTACTAGTTGCCTTCATTTTCGTAAGGACCCTAGGGAGGATGATTTAAAACCAGCTTGCCGATGGAGGCCCCAAAGTCTTTAAAAGTTAAAAGATACAGTATGATTTTACTGACTAAAACTATTTTAAAATACACCTTATAGTTACTCTGAGTGACAGTATAAGATTTATATCCTGAGAAAAAAATAAATAAAATAGGCTGATAAAAGATCAAGGTCAACATGGCACAATTTAATCAAATATACATATCACTAATCAAAAGGAAAGAGAAAATATATATATATCACTTTAACCTTCGACTGAACAATAAACTATAACAACAACATTCCACTATAAAGGAATACTACTATATGTGTACATAAAACCTATGAAATAATTACAAAACATTATTCTGGACTATTTATATGACTATTTATTGAGGGGGAAAAATGTCAAGCTTTCAGCATCATTATTATATTGTATTTCTACTAGAAACTGGAAAAACAACTCAGTGATTATCCTTTGATGTTGCTATAGTAAGGAAGATAAAGCGCAAAAACACAATAGCACACAATAAATGATGGATTGATGCTTTCGTAACCCCCACCTACTGCACTACTGTTGTAACTGAGAAACACGTTATAATACAAGCCACTTCAGTGTTGTGATGAATTTGTCAATGAGCTAAAATATGATTCTTTTCTATCAATCCTTAAACCACAAATTTCTAATTTATCATAATAATACTTCAAGAGGTCCGTGATATTTGATTTATTTCCTGCACATTGAAAAAATTTAATATTTATAATTTTGTTTTCAATGTCAAAAAACTTTTTAGGTGCTATAGCAGCAATGAAGTTCCTGATGTTATGTATGTTGTTATCATTATGTTGTTATCATTTTTTTTGTTATTATTCTGTTGTTATCATATTGTTGTTATTATTGTGTTGTTATCGTTTTGTTGTTGTTGTTATTATGTTGTGTTGTAATCATTTTGTTTTTGTTATTATTATATTGTTATCATGCTAATACCCAATAATGTATTAGTTTATTATTTAAAATGCTCTCTGGAGCTTTTGTTATGGCTTGGTGGTTAACACGACACACTAGTAATACATAGATCAGTAGCTGCATGGGTTCAAACCCAGTCAGGACCAAGCCATTGTCAAGCAAGAAACATTCCACTCGTTGCTCAGTACTGACAGGTTATCAAGAACAGATTCGAGAGTGTGTCTATAAAACCGAGAGTGTGTCTATAAAACTTCTTACACAATCTAACTAAAATAAATTCAGCATACACAAAACTGTTATAATGCAGGAAACATAAAGGCATTCCTATGTTCCACAATAAACCTTCCATCCCCCACCCCTAAACAAAATTATATGGTCTATCAATTATTCAATACATCTTCTACAATTATTCAACTTAATTGTTAGTAAACATTCTAATTCATCCAGCAAAAAACAAAAAGAAGACAAAACAAGTTTAATTTGTCTGGGAAATCACATTCTCTTTGGAGAATAATAAGAATGTTTTGAATATTGTCTAAGAATCTTGGCACCAATATGTAAACAATAAAAGGGGCCATAACTAAGCAGATCTATGCAATGTGCATCCAGGTAGGTAAATATATCTCTGCAAAAAAAAAACAATCGCAGACAATTACCAGGTATCAGTTTGAAGTGATTTTGTAATGGTTTATAGTTTCTGTAAGGAAACACTGGTCTAGTTAGCGTTTAGTATTTAACTTTCAAGTCTTCACAAGTTTCCAAAGGAAATTCAGTATGGGTTCAGCAAATACACTTAACTACATTGGGTTCAGCAATTTAAATAAATTACACTTTTTCACTCTGGTAATTGAATGTGAATATAGGGTAGAAAAGAACAACTTGAATTACTGATCTATATTATTGTGTGAAACAAAGTAACTTGTAGTAGTAAATTGACTGTCATGTAAATTAAGTGTAGCAAACTGGTAGCTGTTGTATTGCTGTAAATACAGTACAACCTCGACAGAAACAACCTTCCGGAGGCAAAGATTTATAAGCTAATAATAGAGAGGATAATTTTATTACTTTTGTTAAAATTATGCAGATGTCTAATGTTTGTTATAAAAAGTCCTATTGCTCTACAAAGGGCCCCACTCTGCTGAGAATGTACTGTAGTTAAATTTAGTGCCAAATTTAAGTTAGATATATATTCCGCCCCCCACCCCCCACCCAGCTGGAACCAAAAAACTTGATTTGCCTTTTGGCCCTCCTATTCTCTGAGCCAAGCCAAGTCTGCGTATTTACTTACTATTCTAATGCTATAAGTAATTCTTCCCTCATCTATGCAACTCAAAAAGATTACATAGAATAGTTTTTTATTTTCTGATATGACCTACAGATAATGGGTTATGAATATTGATATCAATCAATGTTTTCAACAAAGAACAACAACTTATTAACCTTTATCCAGACAAACAACGAACAAAGTGAAAGTAACACAAGTGGAAAAAAAAATTGTGTTTTTTTTGACTCACTTGGACACTTGCAAAGGTCCATATTGGCAAACTTTTCCCGCTTTGCTGGACTATAGGAGACAGACATCAGGTGCCCCCTCACAGCATTATTTTTCATTATTTGAGCCGTGTCATGACAAAACCAACATAGTGTGTTTGCGATCAGCATGGATCCAGGACCAGCCTGCGCACCGCGCAGTCTGATCAGGATCCATGCTGTTCGCTGATCAGTTTCTCTACTTGTAATAGGGTTGGTAAGCGAACAGCATGGATCCTGATCAGACTGCGCGGATGCGCAGGCTGGTCTGGATCCATGCTGGTCGCAAACGCATTATGTTGGTTCTGTCGTGACGCGGCTCATTTCATTATTTGTCATTTTGTACATTTAACATTATGAGTATTGGGAGTATTTCATTAAAGCACTATTGACAAGAATCTTATAGGTTTTTCCCCCTGGAAGCTAGTGTGAAGTTTAGACACAAACGAGCCACTTGCTGACGCCACAGCATAACATGGAGTCATTAATATTTATAAAGTAAATTTAAGGCTTTTCTGTTGGGGGCAAAGTTGAAAAAACTCCATGAAAAAGCACAATATAATTTATGGGTTTCCGTTCCCTTTTTTTCTCTGTAAATTTGGGGGATCAAATTGAAATGATTTTAATGTGAAAAAAAGATTTTTCTTTTTTTGGGTACAAAAAAAACAATTTTTTAGCAGGGTTTATCGACAAGCCATCTTCTTAGCTACAGAATAACATTTTTTTAAAGCAGCGTTTATCGACAAACAAGGTTCATATGGAAATGATGGCATTTTTTATAGCAGCTGAGCATTTATTTTTATCTCTATAAATTATATCAACATTAATATCTCAAATGGACTTGTGCATTATTAACACTGGCCAAAACCATTCATCATTTTCAGGCGTTATTTTGAAATAATTATGTAATGGCTTTGTAATAAAGCTCAAAGTGTAGACCATGACAATAATATAGCAAATAGTGCAGATCATGATCAGAACACAAGGATGTGCCAGCTGATCTTGGTCTGTACTAGTCAAACGAGTATAATAGTTGCAGCTACACATTTATCAGGCTAAGGATAGGTACAACTTAACCTTTCTACACCATGTTCCTAAAAAACTTTCAGTCCCCTTTTATAATCAGTTTAATGGAAATATCTGTAACATTATGATGGGGGTAGTTTTCTCAATTCAGCCATATAAATTATTGCTTACCCTCATTTGTCAATGTGTAATATTTGGTGGTAATATAAGATGGAGCCGTTTGAAATTTAGATATATGAGTAACATCTTAGTACACAGGTACTTTATAATTTGTCCTCTCTTTTTTTATCCTTAGAGATAATCAATTTTCATAGGATTTTTCATATATTTTTTATAGGACTAAAATCTTAATTGACATTAGAATTTTTGTAATTGTTTGATGATGTTATTTTGTTTGTTTTTATATATTGTTTACAAGGCTGCATTTCAAATAAAGATATATTATTTGTGTATTTACGATGGTTTCTTCTTGTGTCTTTAAATAAAGATTTTATTTTTATTTTTTTCATAGTGCTCATTTCTACTCAAAAGCTGAAAAAGATAAAAATAGATAAATAGATACTTACGTGTATTTGAGTGGATAATGCAGTGAAATGAGAGCGTGGCAGGCCTCGGTGAGACGAGAAAAACTTTGTGAATGGAAGAGAATCTTGTGGTCGGACAGGGAGAGTACAAATATATCTATCACAGTTTGTATTCCTGAAAATAATAATGTAAAAGTCAAAAAGTTATCATGCTAATAAAATGTACTAGAGGAAAATCTTTCTTTTTTTTGCATCAGTAACATTTGACTTCGACTCAATTGGCATGTAACCCACCATGGTTAAGTTACACCAAGTATCAACACACTAAAACTATAAATCCCTCACCATGATGAATATCTTAAATGGACTTGTCCATTTTTCAATCTGGAGAAAACCATTCATCATTTTAGTGAAAAGTTTCATACTATGTATTAAAAGAAAAGCAAAACAATGAAGACTATCAGGTGGCATGGTGTTTATGAAAGAAACTGAGAATTTTATGAAGGACAGATGGACTGAATGAAAGACAAACTAGCAACAACTGTAAACAGAAATTTTCTACTAATTTTGGGATTTTAAGATTTTTGTAAAAATGAACTGTCGCCTTAGCCCAGTAACGTGGGTGATATAATTCAATAGGAATTAACCATTATTGCACTAAATTTTCCTTGAGTTTAAACCTATCTGAAGAATAATTAACCTGGCAAATTAATCCAAAATGTAAATTTTGCAAAATTTTAGCCTTTCGAAAATGTCTGTATTTACAGTAAAATTTTTAGGTAGCTTTAAAAACTTATACAGTCAATTATAAAAAATAACACCATTATTTAATGAAACATGTAACACCATGGTTTCACTAGATACAAACCATTAGCCTCATTCATCAGACCACTTATAGACCATTTTACAACAGCCTTTAAAACAGATCAATTGAAATGTATGATTTTCACACAAAATATGCACTATCTATGCATAAATCTGCATCAAACAACAAACAAATTTTGTCTACTTAAGGAACTAGTCACTGGAACAAAACTGTAAGTACTACGCAGGTTATTCAGTCTAAATTTAACTTAAAACGATGGGAATAAAGAGAAGGTGACACCCACTTATTTTGAGTTTTTTTTCTGAAGTTTTAAATCCAGTATATAATTAACTATATAAGCTTGCTCAATTCTCAGGCATAAAAGGTGCACATCATTTCCCACAAATCAAAATTTAATAAATGAAACATATTGAAATTAAAAGCCGAAGAATGAAAATCAAGTACTTTATAATGGATAAGAACAGATTTTACAAATACATTCTAGTAGTGACATACTACATGTACTTTTTCATACATCATTTAAACAGCTCTTAAATCATAAAAACCAAAAGATTACACACAAAAAACAACAGAGATTGCAAATTGAATTTTGTAAAAGCATACAAATGAAAATGAATATTGATTCTAGTGAAATTTTGAACAATAAAAGACTGGGAGATAAGGTCTTTACCTACCCTAAGGCTTTTGCTTTACAAAACAAACCTAAATTTGCATAGGCTTTTGACAATGGCACTTAAATTGTGTAGGCTTTTTCCTCACAAATTTATTAAAACTCTTTCTGATACAGTTTCAAACCTTAAAATTTATCTAACAAATGATAAGGTTACACACCTAATTGCTCAAACAGTAATGCAACGGCATGTTTGGTAACAGGTAGGGTTGAACACAGCGGGGGTTGAAGAGCCTGTCGGTCACCGGCTCCGATGGAGAATCTAACTTGAGGACCGCCAGACGTTGGTGCTTGAACACAACCGATGATGTTCCCAACTAGGGTCTCGATGTCCACTGGCAGTTTGTCAACATATGCTGTATATATGATTCCGAGACAGTTCTGAAAATTAGAATAACACAGGTATAACATCACTGAATCAATAAATGAGCCGTGTCATGACAAAAACCAACATAATGGGTTTGCGACCAGCATGGATCCAGACCAGCCTGCGCATCCGCGCAGTCTGATCAGGATCCATGCTGTTCGCTATCAGTTTCTCTACTTGTAATAGAGTTGGTAAGCGAACAGCATGGATCCTGATCAGACTGCGTGGATGCGCAGGCTGGTCTGGATCCATGCTGGTCGCAAACCCATTATGTTGGTTTTGTTGTGACACGGCTCAAATGCATTTGGATTACAGTTGTTACCACATGTAAAAGTGTCAAAAGGTAAAGCCTGACATCAGGTTATATAATGTTTGAGATCAGATAACAGTCATATTTCATAAGTTAACTTGTCGTCAAAAACACTTGAATAAATTTTTTTTTGCCGGAATATGGCCATGTTTCAGCATACAACAGTAAATAATGCACCCAGACCCTCTAGGTATTTTTCCAGCCATCAGTAATTTTTCTCAGTTAATTGGGAAGAGGCCTTAGCCACTTGATTTTGGGAAAAATTATTGCTTAAACTGCTAATTTGGGAAGTAAAAAAAGGCAAGTTTAAGTTCAGATTTTTGGGAAAACTGGATGATTTTAAAGAAAATTTAAATTGGGAAGAGGCCTTTTATCTGAGTCTGTTTTATAAGCAGGAAAATCACTGGCCATAAATGCCCTATTTGGGTGGAAATGAAAACCCATTTGTTAGCTAACTGGATCACTACTGCACAAGGAAGATTTCAACATTTGATTTCATATAACGCTATAATAACAGACAGTTAAACAATTCCATACAGTAAACTTAACCCCTTCAGCAATTAAGGGTCTGTTATCTATAACCTGTACAAGGTTAAACTTGTTTCAAGTTACAACTTCCTTTAGTAGGTACTTGTCTTTGTAACAAGTACTGAATAGAGATACTGCGGAACTCGTTATAGTGACCCCTGATTTACTAATGTCCAATCTGATGCTATCCTTATTTAGCTAAAGCAGGCTAACTCATAGTGAAGCTATACCTGTAAATGTTAAGTATGTACATGTACCAATGAAAAAGGTGGAAAAACCCAATTTGGCCAGTTTCAGATAACATAATATTCTATATTCTAATTATAACTGAATATGATTGTGTAATAATGTAATAATGATTTATGCTTACTCTAAATGTTTCATGGTAGTCATGGCGTGTAATGAGAACTAAACTTTTTGGTGCGAACATCTGTGAATGGTGCGGTATAATGGCGTCCTCAACGTCAATATCCTCGTCATCTGGCTTTAACGTCATGGCAACCGGCTCGTAGAATGTCAGACAGGCACAATAATGCCGGTCTGCATCGATGTCGGTCAGTACCGACACAAAATATGTCGGCTGCTGTCTCTGACTTGACAGAACCCATCCTGTTGGCTGACAGAACTGAAATGTTAAGATAACAATATGATTAATTTAGCCATTTTTACCTTAACCAATATTTAAATTATTGTCACTCTCCGATATTTGGTACATGATGCCTCTTCTAATTTGTGAGATCTGACAAGAATTATCCGCAAACAGCATAAACTTGGATGCTAGAATTTGTGATATTTTAATTATTGTCCCACTTTGATATTTGGTACAGTCTATTGCTAATTTGTGGCATCTGACAAAAATTTATCCACAAACAGCACAAGATTCAGGTGTAAGAAGGCATTGAAGTGGCTGGTCGTACTCCTGACCTGAGTGGCCTGCCACTCGGCCTTAAATGTGGAGAATGCACTCTTTTCAGGTTATAATAAAATAGCCTTTTAACGAGATTGATAAAATGTAATATTCTTCACATGATGTTGATCGTTTTCAGTGAAATTAAACCATTTTCTTGCCTTTATACTTTCTTTACACACCATTTATATGCAAATGACCTGTTACAAGATAATTAGCTGGGGTTTTTTTTCCAGTATTAACATGTATCGGTTCTGGCTTTATAAAATCATGACTATTGTGATAGTAAGCATAAGCTGCATCAAATTCAGTATTAGTCGTAATACATTTCAGATACATCTTTCCAGAAATATTCTCACTTTACAACACTTTCCCAGGCTCATTTGATATGTAGTAATTCTATATAAAATGACAAGTTGGACAACTCATATACTGGGGTAATCCTATACAATATTATATATTATTCATGGATGTTGACTATGATAATCAATTTACATTTATTTACAGAAGTGGATTATAATTAATATACTATTCCCTGTTAGAGAAAGTCAAGTTTGTGACATATACATGGATGCGCGTTCAGAATGTCAGAAAATGAAAAAACCCTGAATTTAGCATTATGTTTGTTGGTTTTATACAGAAAATAGTGTGCTTTCAGGAGTACATGTAAAAAATAAGACCCTGAACTGCAGGCAAATGCCTGAATACTTGCACCAATATATTATCATATCACTGTAATCATGATAACTGTATGTCAAAACATTACGATATTATAATAATGTAGCCTCCAGTTGCACAATTGTTTGCATTTTGTGAAGAGACAAAATTCAGCAGATATTGTTAATGAAAGCATGAAGTTGTAGAAATAAAAAATACACAAGTTAAGAATACATCAATCACAAACATACGGTACAATATGATTCATATTATACTCATACTTTTGTATATACCTGTATATATTAAATGTATAATTTATGATATAATGAATAAACAACTTAAATATTTAGAAAATTATATATCATAAAAAAAAACTATACGAGACAGATCAATACTCAAAGACAATTGAAAATCTGTGGAAAATAAGAACATCGACCTTACACTGACTAAATATTAAAGAATAATGCAACAGACGGCACAGAGCGCCATGGCGGGGCATCGCTGGATGACGTTAGTCACTTCCCTTTTTTTGTCTGAATATATATCTGTATGTCTAATATAAAATGCCTCTGAAGAAGGCTCATTTAAGGCTGAAAACTAAGCTACGACAAATTCAAAATAGCATTTTCAATAATACATTCATATATATGGTATAATGTTAGTATTGATTGATTATAAATTTTTACATTATAATGTAATTCTCTTGTACACTCATCTACTTAGGCCCTCAATAAATATTAAAACCATTCAAACCATTAATTTATAGTTAATAAATGATGACATGCATGTACCATGTAAAAGGATTTTTTGTGATCATTTCTACCCATCTATTATTAATAATACTCAATAGAAAATCTGTAGTCAATACAAATATTGATCCGGAACGAAAACATTTATGATAATTTGAAACCTTTCTTTCAAATTTATGACAAAAAAGCAACAAAACATTTTGCTTTAAGCATTAAATGTTTCATAAAGACCTAACTAAAAGTTATTATAATACTAATTTATTTATTTGCTATAAGTCATAATATAAGTTCAGGCCAAAAACAGAATGTTTTTTTCAATTTTTTTTTATGTTCAGGTTTTAAGTTACGGCAACACTGCAAAGGTCTGATCTATGGAAACTTATCAGCTTTAATGGTGGTGGATTTTACACCTTAGGAACTGAATTATTTCCGGCACAAGCAAACCAGCAAGCTTTTCATCATTTCAAGCATGCCTGAGCTTGGAATAAAGAAAAGGCATTTCTGACCAAACATTGTTTAAAGTATTTTAAAAGCATCTCCAACCAAGATAAAAATAGTCATCCTTGAATAACTTGTATTTGTTTGTTTTTTGTCAGATTTTTTAGTTACACTCACACCTTAAAGGTGATATGGCAACTTTCTAGCTTTACTGGTGGAGCAAGATGTCTGGTACCACTCCATGAAATCAGACACCTGAGCAATACTACCAATGTTGCGTAAGCTCACCTTGATAGCTTCCTCATGTCAAAGTATCCAAAGTCCCTGTCAAGAATCGAACCTAGGTAACTAGTGATTCAAAGTCAATGACCTTAACCACTTTGCCATGCAAAAATAACTCATAAATAAATAATATGATAAAAATTTATTACAGCTACTCAATACATGTCAGGAAACATACTATTTTCTTATAACTTAGCATGATTTATGTAACCCAGTTTCTGACATAACTATGTGAAAACACTTTACTTCTGGGCCAATTCAAATATCAAATCAATTCACCACTGTAAGGCTACTGATTTATAATCTGACACCAAATTGTGTTGTATTCATTTTGTCAACTTCAGGGTAAAACATTCCTTATGAATATTTTATTACCCCCCCCCCTCCAACAGTTATTGAGACCAGATAATACCTGAGTCAACACTTGAATAGCCTGGTATTTTAAACAATAAATTTGTGATTCTATAAATAGATTTTTTTCCTTAAATAACCCAGGAAGTATAATGAGAGTTGAGTGACAAAAAATGTGTATGAAGCCTTCATATTTTGTTTTATTGCCTGTCACCAGCATATGTTTAAATACTACGCTTTCTTTCATAAGATTCAAACTATTCAGCTAGGTACATTGCACCCTTACCCTTCTAGCCACAACAAGTCTACCTATTTGACCAGTGCAGACCAAGTTCAGCTGACACAATCACAGTCTGCACTGTTCACTATTTAGTCAGACCTACTAGTACTACATTTAAGTTTGAAAGTTTCACTTTATATCATATGATGAATGGTGTTGTCCAAATTGAAAGATAGACAAGTTCATTTAAGATATTGAGGGTGAAATGTTGATAGTTGCTTATGTCACAAATGGGCTCTGATGTCGATTCCTACGTAAAAGTACGCAATATGCTTTTCAATTTCTTATTGTCAAGTTTGACTTATATACCAACCAAAAAGAAAAATTTGTAAGACAGCAAGAAGAAAATTCATTTTTAACTATCAAATTTCTTTAATAAAGCTGAGATTGATACAAGTAATTTAAATATTTGTCAACCTAGCTCCTTTAAATTTACATTCAAAATGCTACTGATGATTTCTTAATTACATTTTGTTTTATAAATAGCTGTTATATATAAATGTTGTTTACAAACTTGTCATTTTAGTGTAATTGTAACACTATACACATGCAGATAAACACTTTAAAACCACCTCAACCGCTGTTTGATCAACTGCAGTAATATTCTTCTTGTTTTTGTTTCCTTAAAATTATGGCATACATGTTTCAGGATGTTTATTACACATTTGTCAGGATGTTTTGATATAATTATTCTTCTAATGTCTAAATTTCATAACATTAGTCATTTAATTCATACATTGAGTCTCGAAATGGTTCTGTACAATAATTATCATTGCTTCTGTTTAAAAAAAATATATATATTTATCAGTCTACAGTATATAATTATATATATCATCGGTACAGAATTCCGTCACCTTATAAACTAAGTAGTCAATACAAAATATTGGGCATATTTTTTCTTTAATATTGATCAAATTTTTCTCTCAACATACACTTTTCCCCCCATATTTTTAGGATCATATTCATTGTGACATGTTATTATAGTAAGTCCAATGTTTGTATGATTGCTAAAAATCACCATTTTATGTTAAAAGAAAATATGCTGGTGACTGAACATTAAATATTACTAGTGGACTTTTTCACAACAGTGTATCAAATTTTTGATGACCAAAAACTTGTTACATGTATATCAATTTTATGTTAAAGGAAAATATGTTCGTGCCTTATATAAACATTATCCGAGTGGAATTCTTAAAAATGGCGGCACAAATGTGTGACAGTGTAACAAATATTTGATATATGACACCCGGGACACACCTTGCCTCATAAAAGAAACGTAGGTTACTACTTGAAAAAAGTATAAAGTCATAATGAGGTCAATATACATGCATGTAAAAGCCACAAACTACTTTAGTATTATGTTTGAAATGAAAGATCATCTCAAATAGCAAATTACTAGTGAACAAAAAACCGAGACTAAGAATGACTCGGTCATATGTCACTATTTCTCTAATTGGCGATAGATTAAAAGTGACCGTCATTACTGTATTGAGTGTACATATTGAAGATATCTTTATCTATAGTAAATAACAGATACATTGTTACCACAAATATGTACAATTTCCACGAGTAATTTGATCTCTTTTCTTAAATGATGAAAAACGACAAAAGTTTTATAAAATACCTGGCTAATTCTAGTACTGGTCAACAGGTCATCAATATACATGTAACTTGTTATTTAAGTAATTTTTTAATATCAAATGATTCTGATCTCAAATAAATACACATGTATGTGTTCATCTACATGTACAATATATCCTACATATAATGGGACTTATCATCTGACCATTCTTTTCAAGAGATGTGAATGTTGTTCATAGATTTAAAACTGTTGAGCATGCCTCCAGATGAGCGAAAACATTTCAATAAATCAAACTTGTGAAAAATGATTTTAGGAAAAATAGAAAGATTCAAGTAATAACTTACATGATATGACCAATTAATGGTGAATTTTTCATTAT